GAGAGAGAGAGAGAGAGAGAGAGAGAGAGAGAGAGAGAGAGAGAGAGAGAGAGAGAGAGATGTTTTCATTGCCTGACACCAGAACCACTGAGAAGGCAGCTGACCTTTCCAGGGAGTCGTGTGGGAAATGGGTAACACTGCGGTCATGTTTACTGACATTGTATTAAATCACCACCATCATCCAGCGCGCTTCATTGTGTGCTGGGAGAGAGGGCCGACGTCGGGCCGCCGCCGCCTGAGCCGCTCACACAGCTGCACTGTTTTGTTTTTTGTTTATGTATTTTTGTTGTTGTTTTTAGAAAAGGGCAAGTGTGCTTTTTTCCTCGATAATCAATAAACTGTATATTCTCTGTTTATTTTCAGGAGCGTGTAAACAGAGAAACCTGAATGCCGAACAGCTGTCTAAGATGAGGTTTATTACTTTCTCCAGCAGCTTCAGCCGGCGTGGGTGGGTGTGTTGGGCAGATATGCATACATAACTGAATTTAATGGCTTACATTTATAAAAGGTTTAGCGTGTGTGTTGGTTCTGTTAATGCCAGCAGAGCAGCATGCATTTCGATTTTGTGCAACGAGGAAACGGGCAAACAAACACTTGAAATTAGCACGACTTTGATGGGATTCCACCTGGAACTGCACTGAAAATGAAAGCTAATATTTACATCTGGGATGTGACTGAAACCATTTTGATAATCCGCTTGCGGTGGAATGAGGGCAAGGCAGGAAGAGGATTAAGGTTCAAAAACCTGTTTTACTGTAAGAAGTAACTTGGGATCAGTCGCTGTGACTTAAAAATAGTAGATAATAGAACTATATTTAATCATCTCCATTGCAACTGAACAAATTGTGTCCTATGATGAAGGTCACGTGAGGCTGAAATCTCCAGGACTTTTTAAAATAAATTATTTGACTTTTAGTCAAACTATACGCTACGCCCCTAGCACATTCACATTGTAATTAAAGGCCCAGAACCAGAAGAAACGCAGGGTCAAAACTTTAAAATGTCTGCAGTGTGAGTTAGAAATGACTCTCAGCTACTGTCAGAGCAGATTTTAGCTCGTAAACATGTGTTACAGTCATTTCTCTTTCCTTTCTGAGGTCAACTGGCTGGTTCATTAAATATTTGGCTAACAGACAGGATCAACACCAACAACTAATATGAAGGTTTAACAAAAATCCTGCAGTCTGTTAGAGCTTGGAGTGATGAAGATAAAGAATTACGTCGTGCCAATCCCTCTAAACCTCGTTACTTTACATGTTCAGTCTGGCTTGTTTAAATTTGTACAGAAGTGTATAAACTCACCAATAGTCCCATAGAGTTTATTAATTAATTAATTTATTTATTTTATTTTATTTTATTCTATTTTAGGTCAAAACAACTTTCCCAAGATCACCTGGCAACAGATGTCAGCTGAGACGTGTTTTTTTTTTACCAAGGAGACAAAAAAAAGTCAAAATCTTAAAGTTTTAGTTTGTGATCAATTATCACACGAGGAGTGTCCTTGCAGTACTAACATTAATTTAAAAGATCCATACAGAGCTGTCAAAACACATTAGTATGAACGTCACATTGAGGTTAATTACATAAATATAATCTCTGGTTGGTTATATAACAGGTGTATTGCGACCGGTGATCACTGGAACACATCTTACAGAAACTATGGAAAGGCAAAAATTCTGCAATTAATCTGGACTATAAGTGGCAGAAAAAACACTTAATCCAATGAAGTTCATCGTGTCTTTACGTTTAAGAAATCCTAAAATCTTTCTTTTGTTCTTAGACACAGGATTATTTTATGTCTCTTCAGACAAACCTGACATGTTTCAACGTCTCTCAACAACACATCAATATTCTGCATGAAATAATAATTTTTAAAAAGTGATAACAGTTCCTTTCTTTGGGTTAGACATTAGCAGCTTTATCTTTAACCTGACTCGACTGCACTATGGTATGTGTAAAATATACACATATGGCATTAGTTTATGATCTAATATATGTGTGTGTGTGTGTACATGTGTGTGTGTGTATATGTATATTTGTGTATATGTATATATATATATATATACGTGTGTATATATATATGTGTGTGTGTGTGTACTGGTTTTTCCTACAACGTGTGGACAATTTTCCTTAAAAAAAAAAGCTGCTTTGTGGGGACCGAAGTGAATCGTGGGGACCTGGGTCCAAATGCATGTTCCAGGTGTGGGGTTAGGTTTAGGACCAAGGTTTAGGTTAGTTTTAGGGTCAGGTAAGTTTCTGTGAGGTTAATTTAAGGGTATATGGTCAGGGTTAGGCTATAAAGTCTAAAAAACATGAATGTAGGTCAATGGAAGGTCCCCACGGGGTCGAGAAACAAACATTTGTGTGTGTGTGTCTCTATATATATATAAACAGTTGGCTCCCAAGATAATATTAGCCCTGAGCTAACTCTGTACGTAAAAAGGACGTTAGAAGCTAACACTTGTACTGAATGCCTCAATAATCTGAACAAATATCAGTATAGATACTGGGATACTGGCACTGATGCTCCATTGAACATATTACAGCTTACATTTCAAGTCAATGTGTAATGTACTCAGGTGTCTGTATCAGCGAGTACCCAAACTGAAGTACTAGTACTCGGTTTAGAGAAAAACTGGTATGGGGACACCCTTAGTTTAGAACCAATACTGGTCTGTACAATGGTATAAATTACCGGTTGAATTTGTTCATCATCATCGTTTATTTATAAAGCACAATAAAAACCAAAGTGCTGTACAGGAACATAAAATACAAACAATGTCAGAGCATTTATCCCGTGTGACCCCGTGGCCAATTTGCAGGTTAACGACAAAAAAGGTCTATTGTAACTTACAATAAGTGTACAGCACTTTGATTCTGTGGCTGTTTAATAAAGCTGGTATGGTAAGTTTCTGGTCATGGTTTAATTTGGTAATGTATGGGTTTCGACAAGTGCACGCCTGTATTTAACCATGTCACACAAGGCAAGACAGAGGGATGTTCAGCGTCAGCACAATCAATATAGTCTGTTTAGAAACACATGCAAACTGATGGTTAAGTTATGTCAATACTACAGGTAATAAGGAGGAGCAGGGTCTGGATGCAGAGGGGATATTACCACCTGAGGCTTTAATAATGAGGAAGGCTGTGAGCAGATGTAAACAAAGGGCATTACTTTAGTCTGGTGCAACAACAAAAAAAAGCCCTTCCACAACATTCTGACAAATAAACACTCCTGGCCTTCCGAAGAGGATGCAGATTGCATTCCTGTCATGTCAAGCATTCCTCTGTTACAGAGAAAAAAGAAAGGGGGGAAAGGTGGAGGAGTGGGGGGTAAGAGATGTGCATCAGTCTCCATCACTGCGCAGGGCTTTCCTCGGCTTTCCCTGAGAAAACCACCGGGGACACCGAGGACCTGAGGCAGGCAGGCAGGCAGGGGGAGGGAGGGTGAATCCCGCATCCTTGCATACGAACACGAGTAACATGTCGTTTTCTCTTACCTGTTGGGGCCACATTCGCGACGTCAGACGGCAGATCGCTGGTGTAAGTGCACTCCAAGCCCAGTACCGCATAGATGACGARTCCACGTAGCAATACATTCACTACTACCATGTAACTCATGGTGGAAAGGCGGCGAGAATGAGGGAATTCGTGTCCTGCCAGACTGAGGTTATTCAAGAGGTGATGTGGTGGAGGAGCAGGGAGGAAATCCGCAAAAATATATATTAGTAATTTAATTTAAAAAAAACATTCACGATCTTCTTAATAACAAAAAAGGGAACAAATAAAATGTTAGTTCATGTTAAGGCGAAAGTGCGTTAAAGAATAAAACTCTAGTAGCTTGTAATGGGTTTACAGGCTGTTTCACAGGGAGCAAGCGAGAACCCCATGTTTATTTTTATATAAATATCTATTTATTAAAAACGAACGGAGGAATTTGACGTCCCAAAACACAAAAAAATAATAAATGTTTGTTTTTATCGCCGCGGATATCAGGGAGCTTCAAAAATCCAGTCTGTCCTTCTGACGTAGTTTTATATTCCGCCTCTGTTTMAAGCCAAGTCAATCCAATGGTAGGTAATAAAATAAAAACAAACAAAGAATTAAATCCCACTTCTTCCTCCTCTGTCCGTGTCTCCGCCGCTGCTCCGACCGGCCACACGCACCACATCCGTCTACCTCCTGCCCGAGTGAAGTTGTTTTAAAGTCAGCTCTCCGTGGCTCGACGTGATACTGTATCCTCCTGTCATTTCATCAGCTGCTCGCCCGCCCGGCTGACGGTGGGCACCGGCAGAGAAGGGGGGAGAGAAAAAAAAAGGAAAGCCGAGTGGGGCGGAAGTTCAGTATGCAAAACGACTGAGGACACAGCAGACCGAGGAGGGGTTGATGAGGAGGAACGACTTTAAATTAGCTCCGACTCCCGGCGCGTGCGGGACGCCGCCACGTTAGCTTAGTTGTTTCTTCTCGTATCCAGGGAAATTCAGCGGCTTTCCCCGTTGCCCCCCTCCTCTCCTCCCCGGGGGGTTGACGCGGGCAAGAGGCCAACTCGCCGGCGCCAGGCAGGTGCGTTTCAGGCCGAGCCTCGAGAAGCCTCCAGAAACAACAACTTGTGTTTTTCTCCCACCGTGACACAGCGGCGGATGATGAGCAGCGCGATAACCACTTCATTGTTCCTTCGCCTCCTCCTCCCGCCCCCTCCCTGCGCTCCTCCTCTCCTCCTCCTCCTCCTCCGCTCGGCCCATCCGAGTTTGTCCTCCCCCAGCTGAGCGCTGTGATTGGCTGAGCTCTCCCAACATGGCAGAATCTGATTGGCTGCCTCGCACAGCACGTTCTTTTGTGTTGTTTGAAGACGAGCCGCGCGGAAATTAAATAAGTGATGCTAAAGAGCTAAATAGCACATTTTAAGTAAAAAAATGTGAAAAAAATTATCACAACAAATAAAATAAAACATAACAATAAAATGATAATTGGTGTCCAGATACCAGCACTTTTACAAGCAGCTACACATACAAGATGACCTACTCAATACAAATATCGTATTAATATTGGTATCCATAGTCAGTTCATTGGGTTACAGTTTACATCTGTCAGCTCCATGTTTAAGAAACTTAGACAAGTTGAAAGAATAATTTATTATTATTATAGTATTGTTTATCAGTGGTGGATCTAGGATTTTTCTGAGTAAGGGGCCACAATATTCATAGAGGGGCCAAGTCTTTGTTCCACATCCTTTCAAACAAATCCCCAGTTTTGGTAAGGTGTATACATTTAACCAGTCATGCATGTTCCAGCACTTGAAATGTTATATTTAAAAAAGGCACCACTTTACAATAATAATAATCATTTAAAATATTTATAAATAAGGCTCCCGTTATAGATGGCTTTTAAAGAGTTTATAGATGGGTTATTAACTCATCTGTAAACACTTTATAAATAATTATTAAGTGTTTATTATGCATTAATTAAGATCAAAATAGATACTAAACTGTCTGGTTTAGTACCAAATACTGAGCCAAATCTGTTTGGTATTAAACATTTCAGACTAGTTTACTACCTTGTAAGCACAATAATGATTRRGAAATGCATATTTTAACATATAAAAATGTACTGTATTACTGCATTATAAACATCCACAAAAATTAAAGGGATCCTTATTTTACAGTGTAAAACTGTACAMTATTATGGATGGGGTGGGATTATTTGGTATGTTAACATGATTTTTTCTTTTTTGATCCATCATTGTTGACAGTCGTTACATGTCTGAACAATAAGTTCAAGTTTTAAAAATTGGGATTTTTTTCTCATTAAATGCTAACTTTTGGCATTTATAAATGTTTATATATCATTAATAAATAGTGTACTGTAACAGTATTACACTTTATGATAAGTCTCCCTTTGACAGTTGTGAATAATTATAATACAGTGCAATATTAATATATTTAAATATATGTTTCTTATTGTTATTGTACTTACAATGTAGTGACCTTGTCTGAAATGTTTAATTTAACACCTTTAGATGTAATGTGTATGTAAACAGATTTGTCTCATTATTTGGTAAGAAACTGAACAGTTTTGATGTCAAATCTTTATAATTTACAGACAATCTGTACAAGTTGCCGCCTTACTTTCTTTGCCTTTTCTTTCTCTGGTCTCTTTCTCTCTCTCTCTGTGTGTGTGTGTGTGTGTGTGTGTGTGTGTGTGTGTGTGTGT